ATTATTATTATTATTATTATTATTATTATTATTATTATTATTATTATTATTGATGTTGTTGTTGTTGTTGTTGTTGTTGTTGTTGTTGTTGTTGTTGTTGTTGTTGTTGTTGTTGTTGTTGTTGTTGTTGTTGTTGTTGTTGTTGTTGTTGTTGTTGTTGTTGTTGTTGTTGTTATAAGTTAAATGTTCAGTTTGGAGTGACTAATCATGTCTACAAGATGGACTTTAATTGAGACTGCTATGCCAGCGCATAAAAATTACATAACCTGTCTCATTAAATGTAAAAAAAATTTCCAGTCCTAACGTTACAAGATGTTTCATATTTTGAAGTTGGAGTATTGCTTATCTCCTGATGCATGCTCAATAATCCATGAATCTAACAAGGTTGAGTCCGGTCCTGTGCATGGGTTCTTTGTTGAATTGTTTCAGGGGTTTTTTAACCAAAAGACCTTCAGTACGAGGAGCTGCAACAAACTCGGTCTTATAAGCAGCACCTTATAGAGGATCAACCAGTTTGTTGGTGACATTCTGAACTGGTTGCTCACATGCAAAAGGAGGACCATCAGCCTAGCAATTGATTGTTAGTACCCTGATGGTTGCTTGCTATTCACAGAGGGTGATACTAGCAACAACAGCATTGTATTCATTTGCTCAACCTTTATTTATACAGGTTAGTCTCATTGAGTCACGAGGACTTATTTTCAAGAGAGACCTGTAAAAGGGGGACAGATGAACCTGGAGGTCTCCACCCCTAATGAACAGGTTATCTTCACAAAGATGGTCTCCTTTACTCCTCTCTCAACCCATCGTTCCTCTATCCAGGATGTGCACAACTTCATCCCTGAAAGAGTGACCGCTGGCCTGGAGATGAGTGTAGACCGCAGAGTCCTGGCCTGATGGTGTTGATCTTCTGTGCTGGGCCATCCTTTTGGCCAATGGCTGCTTAGTTTCCCCCGATGTAAGTCTGATCACAGCCCTCCTGACACTGAACAGCATACACAACATTACTCTGTTTGTGCCGGGGGACTGGATCTTTGGGATGAAGCAGTCTTTGCTATAATATATTTGGGGGTTTAAAAGCCACTGGGACGTTGTGTTTAGAAAATAAACGTCTCAGTTTATCTGAATCTCCTGCATCATACGGAATGACCACTGCTCTGGGTCTTGATTTGGTCTGCCTTTTCATCTGATGGCTGCCTGGAGCCCTGTTTGGATTTTTTATCTGCTTGTCACAAACATAAAATCCAAAGCACAGGGAGGAAGAAGTCATTAATATATATAT